GCGCCTTGCTGCAGGTACATCGAAGACGAAGCTGGAGCTATGGCGCCGCAGGTGAGTATCCCTGGCATCCGCCAACCATCTCTCTCTCTCTCTCCCCTACTAGCGCCCAGCGCTGAAGACTACTGCTATCGCTACTACTACGCCAGAGTCCGCTGCCGGGTCCTGAAGACTACCTCCTGCCTTCTGCACGTGAAGTGCCTAGGAACTGCCTGCAGCCTATAGAGCGGGTCAGCATTATATAGTGCTGGCCCGTCCGAGAGGCTGCTCGTGCCTATGCCAAAACGTGCCCTGGGGTTGACGCTCCATCAAATAGGCCATCATGGCCTGAGCTGAAAACCCCAGTCTGGTGCCTGAGTTTCAGGGTAGGTCGATCTTGCGAGGGCCTGAAAATGGCTCGTCGTTTTCAGGCTGGAAGCCGAAACGACACAGGGCCTGAAACGGGCCCTACCCCTACGGACCCTTAGTCTACCAGATCGGGCTCTGCTGGGCCCGTGTGGTACGGAGTATGCCACACTCCCCCCTCCTTGAAAGACCAAGCTTACCTGCGAGGGCGAAGTTGTCTGGTGGAGGGAGGGACTGAAGTCCGGGTGGGAGGCTGTGCAGCTTCCGTCGCTAGCCGTTTCTTCTCATGATGAGCATAGATGTCAGGAGCGGAGGCTCGCAAAGCTGCCCGGGAAATCCATCAAGTGTCATCGGGGGGTCGCACCACTTGAATGTGACTTTGTACTGCATAGGTTTGTTGCCGTGCTTGCGATGCGTGATGACGCGGTCGACTTCCTGATGACCATCCATGGAAGGAGGGTCCTATGATCGTCGTCCCGCGAAGTCGTCGCTCTTGGCTGGTGTATATGTGGCCAGCTTGGAGGCGTGGAAAACCGGGTGCACCGTGAGATGCGGCGGGATTTCGATCACAAATGAGGGGCCATTGAGCTCATCGCCCGCGGCTGATGTGACGGGCCATGGTCCAAACCACTTTGGAAGTAGCTTGCGGGATACATCCTGCTCGAGTGCAAACTCTTCCGTGGAGACCCAAACAAGGTCGCCGGCGCGGATGGGGCATGGCACGCGACGCCTGTTGGCTTGTTGTTGCATGCGGACTTGAGCCTTTTGCATGTTGGCGCGGGCTTTAGCCAGCAAGTCCGTATACTGTCGAACGGAGGCGGGCGAACAAGCGGCGTCAATGTCGGCAGTCCTTGGAAAAGGAAGATCAGCGAAGATGCGGCCTTTCCGACCACCGTGGTGTAACTCGAACGGAGTCACGCCGATCGTCGGGTGCACCGAAGTGTTGTAGGCGAACTCGATGTCGGGGAGGCGGTCCACCCAATCCTTCTGATCCGTACGGATGAGTGTGCGAAGCATTACTTGAGCCGTTTGATGTGCCCGCTCCGTCTGCCCGTCCGTTTGCGGATGTCAAGGTGAACTTGGTTTCATCTCGGTGCCGGACTCTTTCATGAGAGAGGCCCAAAATGCCGACATGAAACGAGTGTCGCGGTCGTTGACGATGTCTTTCGGAACGCCGTGGCCGCAAATCCAGCTGGTATGTAAGAGGCGTGCAAGTTCCGGAGTCGTGACGCGGTACTTGCAAGGAAGAAATCATGCGTACTTGCTCAAACGGTCAACAACCGTGAGAATACCGTCGTGCCCGAAGCGGTCACGGGGGAACGGGCCGGTGACGTCCATAGCAATGGAGAGGCCGGGTTCCCGCGGAATAAGCAACGGGCGTAACTCACCATAGGGGTTGCGATTGCGGGGTTTGCTTCGTCGGCAAACTTCGCAAGAGTCGCAATACTGGGTGACGTTGGTAATGAGGTCGGGCCACCGGAATCGTTGCCGAAGTCTTGCGATCGTACGGTTGGCTTCGAGGTGGCCGTCGAGTCTCGAGTCGTGGTACTCGCCGAGGAGACGAGTCCGTAAGCGACGGTCGTGTTTTACGCATAGTAAGTCCTTGCCTCGTGAGTGAAGCAGCAGGTAGCCATCGACGATGCGATAGTGGCTGGTCGGCGGGTGATCCGAGGATAGTTGCTCGTAGAGCGTGCCGTATTTCGGATCGGACTTGTATGCTCGCACAAAATGTTGATGAAGGGCTTCGTCGAAACTGAACGCGTGGTGAGTCACTGCGCAAAGATCTGATCTTCGCAAGAGAGCATCCGCGACTCGGTTGGAGAGGCCCGGGATATGTTTCGGTGTGAAGTCGAACTGATCGATGAAGTACATCCATCGGGCAATCGTGCTGCTCACCGTGTCTTGCGTCTTGTAGTACACCCAACTGAACCTACGACGCCCGAGGAGGAAGTGTTGCCAACGCTCGAGTACTGTGAAGAACGCAAGCAACTCCTCCTTCCGCGCATCATCAACCGAGTTGATGGGAGGCACCTTTTGGCTGAAGTACTCAACCGGGTGCCAATCTACTCCGCCGTGTTGTTCCAATACTACACCCATGCCGTAGCCGGAAGCGTCCGTAGTCACTCTCGTAGGCAAGGTGGGATCGTAGATACTCAAGACGGGAGCAAGGAGCAACGCCGTCTTCAATTTGTGGAACGAACTGCGGACTTCGTCGGTGAACTGGAAGGGCACCTGTGGAGACTGCAATTAGGACAAAGGTGCGTATCCTTCGATGAAACGTTGGTAGTACTCAGCCAATCCCATAAAAGAGCGAACGTCCGTGGTGTTGGTCGGTTCCGGCCAATCTTGGATGGCCTTGGCCTTGATCTTGTCTGCAAGCGGACTGATGCCTTGCGGCGTCACAAAGTGGCCCAAGTACTCGAACTCTTGCTGTGCGAATTCGCACTTGGCTCGGTTGGCCTTGTACTTAGCCGTACGTAGCCTGTCCAAAACAGCACGTAGATGCGCGATGTGGTCATCCAAAGTCCGGCTATACAACAGGATGTCATCGAGGTAGATGAGCATGAACCAGTCCAACATGTTGCGAAACTCCGTTGTCGTTGCCGCTTGGAAGGTGGGTTGGGGCATTCGTAAGGCCGGATGGCATTACGACCCGACTCGAAGTGCTCGTACCGTGTTTTGAACGCGGTTTTATATCGATCTCTTGGATGGATCTCGAGCTGGTGGTAACCGGATTTGAGGTCCAACTTGCCACGCCCAAGCGTTCGAGAAGATCGTCGATGCGTGGGAGCGGGCCGACATTTTTAATGGTTTGAGCATTAAGCTTGCGATAGTCAATGCATAAACGTAGCTCCTTGTTCTTCTTCCGAACGAAGAGAACAGGTGCACCGTAGGGCGAGCAGCTAGGGTGAATCCAACCCTTGTCAATGAGGTCATCGCGTTGCGTTCGAAGCACTTCGAGTTCCTCCTCGCTCATGCGGTAAATACATCCGGACGGAGGTACGGCCCCGTCTTCGAGGATGATCTCGTGACAAATTGGCTGATTCGGTACGATTCCGACGGGGGCTTCAAAGACGTCGCCATAGGAGTCAAGAAGTTGTACAATGCGTGGATCCGGTGGCTGTTCCGCCGTTGGCTCGTCGGGGGGAGGGAGGGCGTGCAAGAAACAAATGCCCATTTCCTCCACGTCGTTCCGTGCGATGGAGTTGCGAATG